GCAAGGAGATCAAACCAGTCAATCCTAAAGGAAATCAACCCTGAGTATTCATTGGAAGGACTGATGCTGAAGCTGAAGCGCCAATACTTTGGCCACCTGATTCAAAGAGTTGACTCATTGGAAAAGACCCTGATGCTGGGAAAGATTGAAGACAGAAGGAGAAGAGGGCGGCAGATGATGAGATGGTTAGATAGCATCACCAACTCAATGGACATGAGTTTGAGCAAACTCCTGGAGATGGAGGACAGGGAAGTCTGGTGTGCTAACCTTCACGGGGTTGCAAAGAGTCAGACACAACTGAGCAACTGAACAACCACCTCTTTCAAGGCTCTGTCTCCAGAGCCAGTGCATTCTGAGGTACTGGGGTTAGAACTTCAACACACGTATTGGGGAGAATACAATACAGCCCTTAGCACTGACCATTTGTACTCTCTTGGCTATTTTGCTATTAATCTTTTAAAATTTATTACAAACATTATTGAATATAAAGGAAAGTTTACTTTCTTGTATGTTTACCTTTGTTGTTTTATGTATCAACTTACATGAATGCATCTTTTAAATTCTGGTTTATTAGCAATATAAGCCTAAGTACATAAGGAATTTTACTTTTCTTACATCCTTAAATCACCAGCTAGAAGCATGACATCTCTGTTTCTCTTGGAGTTTTCAGACTAGGTTTTTTGGGTTTTTTGTTTGTTTGTTTGTTTGTTTTAATTAGAGGATAATTAACTTTACAATATTGTGATGGTTTTTGCCATACATCAACATGAATCGGTGCTGGGTGTACATATGTCCTCTTCCCCTCAAGCCCACATCCCTCCCCATCCCACCCTTCTAGGTTGTCACAGAATACTGGCTTTGGGTTCCCTGCTTCATACATGGCTATCTATTTTACATATGGTAATGTATATGTTTCAATGCTATTCTCTCATATCATCCCCCCATCTCCTTCCCCCACTGTCCAAAAAGTCTGTGTCTCCATTGCTGCCTTGCAAGTAGGATCATCAGTACTATCTTTCTAGATTCCATATATATGCGATATTTGTCTTTCTCTTCCTAACTTGCTTCACTCTGTATAATAGGCTCTAGACTCATCCACCTCATTAGAACTGACTCAAATGTGTCCGTTTTTCAGCTGAAATATATTCCATTGTATATATGTACCACAACTTCCTTATCCATTCATCTGTTGATGGATACCTAGGTTGCTTCCATGTCCTAGCTATTGTAAATAGTGCTGCAATGAACACTGGGGTGCATGTATCTTTTTAAATTCTAATTTCCTCAGTGTTTATGCCCAGTAGTGGGATCGCTAGGTCATCCAGTAGCTTTATTCCTAGTTTTTTGAGAAATCTCTGTCCAGTTCTCCATATTGGCTATATCAATTTGCATTCCCACCAAAAGGGTAAGATGATTCCCTTTTATCCACACCCTCTCCAGAATTTATTGTGTGTAGATTTTTTGGTGATGGTCATTCTGACCGGTGATATCTCATCGTAGTTTTGATTTGCATTTCTCTAAGAATGAGTGATATTGAGCATCTTTTTATGTGTTTATTAGCCATCTGTATGTCTCTTTTGGAGAAAGGTCTGTTTAGGCCTTCTGCCCACTCTGATTGGGTTGTTCGTTTTTCTGGTATTGAGCTGTATGAACTGCTTGTATATTTTGGAAATTAATTCTCTGTCAGTTTTTTCATTTGCTGTTAATTTCTCCCATTCCAAGGGTTGTCTTTTCACTTTACTAGGTTTTGCTACAACTTAGTTTCAGTGTAATACTGGTAGCATGGGGCCATCCTAGCTATTAAATATGTAAGACCAGCACTCGGATTTAGCTCTAAATTCTTCTCCTTTGTTGCTCCATTATTAACACTCTAGTGCTGGTAAAAGCAATCACATCATTCAAAAAAAAAATTTATAAATCAGTTGTTTGTTGAATCATCTATCTTTGTAGGCAGATAAATAATCATCCATGTGGTTTTAATTTGAGGGGCATAAAAATAACCTCCTCTATGACTTAAGTCCTCCCAATAAAATCATCTTTGTCTCCATAAAGGCCTGGGATAAAGCAAATGGTTATCAGAGAGGGAAGGGAGCCATTCCCAATTACTCAGTGCTGCAGCAAGGTTGGGATCTAAGGAAATGAAGCTCAGAGGGAAGGATGCTGAAACTTAGGGCTTGGAACTGTGGGGAATATCAGTAGGCCAAGTTGTCATCATCACACACTCCTCACCATGTACGTAGGGGGTGATGTTTTTCACCAATGAGATATATGACCCCTGGACCTGTGAGAATCATCATGTGATAAAGTGAAGAAACTGAGCACAGATTGTTCCTTCTGGAGGACAGAGAGCAAACAGGAGACATACCCACTCCTAGTTCTACCTGGAAACCTCTGTTATCACCCTCTATCCCAGCTTTCTGATCTGTGTAACAGTGTCTTTACCACATTCAAGGAGCCTAGAATCACAAACTGTCAGAGAAGGAAGAAATCACCCTCCCTCAAGGACAAACAAGTGAGCAGAGGCCACCTGAATTCTCCACTCGAACAAAGAATGTGGGGAAGGCAGGAGCAGACCAAGGTGGGAAAAGGGTGTGTCAGCTCCTTGAAACACTATTGACACTTCACCGGGAATTCACACCTATAGCTGTCGATAGACTCCCTTTCCCTTCTGAAATGAAACACAGGTTGTATAAATGAGGCATCTACTTCATTTTTAAAGTCTTTCATGTTTATGTAACTCAAATACATAAGTGCTCAAACCAAGTAGTCAGTAGTAGGGCATACACTTTCCTTGATTTGAGGATTAATAGAAAAATAATAAAATAGTTGGTTCTTTTTGAAAAATGACTCCGTAATAACAATTAAAACAAGTTTCAACCTTTCAGTGCATAGCTTAATCCTGAATGCATATCTGTGCAGGGTTATCTCACCATTAAGGCACAGTCTCATCTTCATAAGAAGCATAAAGGGATGTGTGTGTACGTGTGCCTGTGTTCACATGTGTGCACGCCCCCATGCAATGGAACTCTAGACACTGGAGCATGACGCCAGAGTGACAGTAAATGGAAGGCAAGTGCATTAAAGAAGAGCAGGAACATAGAATTCACAGCGGTTCTCCTTCATTATAAGGAGGAGTTTTTAGTTCTTTGTGTATATATGCTTTTTTCTAAAAAGTCTACAGTAGTGATGGTTAAAAAGTCTACAATAATAAAATGGCTATCTTTTATTATACACCTGTCACTATCCTAAGTCTTTCCTAGGTAATAGCTCATTTAATCCTCTCAACAGCCTATTACCCTCACTTTATAGATGAGAAAACGGAAGCAAATGGATATTAAGTCACTTGTCCCAGATTCAGATCTAGAAAGTACAAAAGCTGGGATTCAAACTCAACCGTTCCAATATTCAAAAAGAGCTTAGCTGCTACAATAAACATGAGTTTACTTTTCTTCATAAATGAGTATGGATGTATATATACATATATATGTACATATATTATATGCATTTTTAAGGCTAAACATATGCATGTATTTAAATAAATACACAGCATCTAAAGTTGAATTTCATTCTCTTAGTTAATAGAGAAGAGTCATTATAACTTTTCCACAATACTGTAATTCTGAGGTTTTTCAGGAGAAAGAACCTTATAGTAGGAGGAAGAAGGGCTCTGCAAATCCCTCCGGACTCAGGACTGAAATGCTCTCAGATTGCTATCAATACCTGGAGCCTAAAAATCAGATGAATTTAGGATGAATATGCTGTACAATGATAAAATTGCAGATTTTAAATCCTCAAGCTCCATGCTCACACTCCATACAGGGAACAATTCCAAAATCTCTCTCCTCAAGAGTCTTCTAGCCCAGCCTACTCTCAAACAGTCCTAGTGTGAAGAGCTCACCCCTCCAAGAGGCAACACATTCCCTCACGGAGCCTTGCATATCATAAGTCTCCATACCATAAATAAAGTCTCCCCATGAGAACCTGAAATCTCACAGTGTAAGCTCTGCACATGGGAACTGCACGGAAAAGCACATTGTCTAAAACTACAAGGCTACCATTGTGCCCAGCTCCCTCCTTGTGAATTCTACCTTTTTCTGTGTTCCCACTCCAGTTACCCTGGGAAATAACACAGGTGAAGCTAATATTTGAAAGTAATTAAGTTCCAATGGAAAACACTTCCTTCTATGATGCTTTGGTGCTGAGGTCATCACATCCTCTTAAATGTTAAGTGTTAACTATAGTGGCTGAAAGCTGGTGCTCAGTAAAGTGCCAACAATGTTGCAAGAATGGGAAAATATTTCTATAAAATGAATCAGGCCTTAGGTGTGTAATATACCAGGTTTCCAGTTCTTCAACCTTCTGGCCCCAAACCATCAGACCCAGACCCTGGCCTCCAGCTCCTATATCTTTAAGACCACCTGAGGCATCTGAACCTTTGGAACATGCCTGGACCTAACCTTGGCTGCAGCTTCTCAGCATGTTCCAGCTTCAACCTTGGATTTGCCACAAACTGAGGGTGTTCTGGCTCTGCTCACATTTGGCATCTCCCAATGTACTGACCCAGATCATATTCACTGACCTGGATCCTGCCTTCTGGACAAGGTGTTCCCTTCTTGCCAACACTTGCCTATTTATGGCATCATTATTTCAATCTCAGCACTGACCCTGAAGGCTGAACCAGGCAGATGGAATGAAGCCAAACCAGCTCTCCCACCTCATCTGCCAGGACTCCTGAGTGTGGCTCCCTTCTCCAGCCTTAGGGCCTCACCTGCTCCCTGTCCTCCCCACTTTGTCAGGAACACAGTCCCCTACCCCAGAGTCCCTTTCACTCTATTCCCAGTTCAAATCCTAGCACAGGGTTAAGAATCCAGGCTCTGGAATCAGATTGCATGAGTTTGAGTCCAGGTTTTCCACATATCAACTACATGGCCTTAATTAAGTGTGACTTAACTCTCAATACTTAGATTTTCTCATGTGTAAAATGAGAATAGTATCAGTACCACCTGTGGAGGCACCACCAGCAGCAGATCCAACATCCAGGTCCTTCCTCCTCCTTCAGCTCAGAAACTTTTAGACAGTTCTGTGTCAGATTAGCAAATAAAAGCCTCCTTCTGTCTCCCAATCCTGCCCCTGAGGTGTCTAACCAGTGGGGCAGAAGGGAAGTCTGAAGTCAGTAGGGATTCCTAGGGAAGTTTTTCTTTCCATTTATTAGCATTTATTGCTTCCTTTCTGCTGGGATGCCAATCCACAGCCTGCAGTGGATTGGCCTTTTTGTACCAGGGATAATAACCAAACCCAGAGCCTGGCAGAGCAGGAAGTTAGAAGGAACCAGAATCTTGATGATGTCTCAAGCATCTGCATCAGCCCAGACTGTCTATTCCTGGACTTCTTATATGTGAGGAAAAACAAGCCTCATTTTGATTACGCTACTATGACCAATTTTCTGTTACCTAATGGCTTTGTCATTGTGAGAACTAAATAAGAAAATACGGATAAGCACCTCTTATGATATCTCATGCAGTAAGTGCTGGAAAACTGTTAGCTGCTGTTATTTCAAACCCCAGCTTTAGTCTCAATGGCTCCATACCAGCTGGCTGTGATATCTCCCCTCTCAAAGTGCCCTTCAGACTTACATTGTGTACCACTCGTTAGGCACATATCTTAAGCCTGAAGTCTCTTCTATGGCTATGTAATTTTTGTACTATTGTTATTAAATTTGTATTTCCTGACTCTACAGATAGATAATAAACTGTGGGGGTAACAATGCCTCAAGGTCTCCCCCACAATACCCCAGTTCTCTGCATATAGGCGCTACTCAATAAAATAAACCATTGTTTGTTTAAGAACTCTAGAACTGCTGAAGCATCTAAAAGTTTGCTTCCTCACATTTCCTGTTGTACTTTGCAGCCAGATTCTTTAAAGGATTCTCTAGGTGTATTAAACAACTGAGAGGTTTTTATGAAATTGTTTCTATGGAATAAATGTTTTTCTTAGCTTTTTGAATACTGTAGAACTGATACTCCATCAATGGCAAGTTTTGAAAGGCTACTAATGCAACACAGATTTTTAACAGTAGTATTAGCTATTAATACAACTGTCTTTCTTATCAAGTGATACAATATTTTAACGAGCTGCCCTCACCCCCAGAATTGGACTATGAATGCCTGAAGGCTGGGAGAGAAAATGCACTGTCCACAGTGACCTCTTCATACCTTGCCTCTTCTTCACGTGCCTAGATGACACGCACAGGAGCCAGGCGGTGTAGACCTGTGGGAGTTTGTGTGTAACACGATCAGATCTGGATTTTTGAAAGTCACTTTCATGCACAGTAATTGGAAGGCAGCAGGAGGGGCAGTGTGCAGCTCTGACATCCCAAAGAGCTTCTCCAAATGCCAGTCTTTGCTTTTGCAACCATCACCTCCCTTCAGGCAGGGGTCTGAGGGCCTAAAAAGGAGCTTGGAAGAAAAGTCTGGAAGTGGAAGAAGAGCCAAATTAGACTGAGTGTTGCTGTAAGCTTGTTGCCAGACTCGTGTCTACCCTACTAGCTTTCAAGGGAGACTTAAAACTCATGCCTCGCCATCTTGCTGACCATAATTACTAACTATATGTGGTTTATTGTCTTGAGAAAAGGGAGAGATTTTTTTCCCCTAAAGTAATGCCATTTAGGATCTCTGTGGAAAGCAAATAAGTGACTGATAAAAGGAGTCAAAAGTCGGGAAGATTATATGTTTGTGTTGGGGAAAGATGTTTAAATTAAGGAATTTGTGAGCTGGTATGACAGCATGAGGGGAGAGAGCTCTATACCTGATTTCCCAGCAGACTCTCACCTTCCCAGGCTTACACTGGCAGAGCCCAGACTAGATAATCACAAATTTTGATAAAAGTAAACAAAGCATTCCTAGGAGCTGAAGACTTCAAAATCTTATTTGCATTTACCCAGAGAAAAGCCTGGAGTTTTCTTTTCTTGATCTTAGTCCAAGGGTGAGGTTTTCGGGAAAGTCTGAGAAGAAATTTATGCCTAGCAGTTAGAGGCCTATAGGGAAAGAAAACAATATGTTCTTTTTTTTTCCTGAAGAAAGCTCCAGCAAAGAACCTTGCAATCAACTTCTCTGGCATTCCTAAGCCCTTGGAGGACACACATTGGCCATTTTGTACCTATATTCAAAATATCATTTAGTCCAATACTGATACCACAAGACCTGGGTCTATATAATAATACAATGACAAAAGTTACTTAGCAACAAAATTGGCTGTATTCCTTCACTGTTTATAAATAATTGAGCATCAATTAAGCAGCCATACTCTGCTAGAGGGTGGGGATTACAGTGGTATATCCAGCGTCTTTGATTTCACTAGGATACTACTCAGTTCAGTGATCTGAGTCCCTAGGAGTGGAGATCATGAGCTTGGTCTAAGACCTATCAGGTTACACTTTCCGTCCTGCAAACTCCTGCAAAAATATGACACAAGTGAAAGTGAAGTCGCTCAGTCGTGTCCGACTCTGTGCGACCCCGTGGACTGTAGCCCACCAGGTTCTTCCATCCATGGGCTTCTCCAGGCAAGAATACTGGAGTGGGTTGCCATTTCCTTCTCCAAGTGAACTTACCTACAAAACAGAAACAGATTCACAGGCATAGAGAATAGACTTGTGGATGCCAAGGACAGGGGAGGGTTTGAGGGAGGGATGGGGTGGGAATTAGGGGTTAGCAGATACAAACTGTTATATATAATATGGATAAACAACACGGTCCTACTGTACAGCACAGGGAATTGTATTCAACATTCTGTGATAAACCACAAGGGAAAAGAATATAAAATAGAATGTGTGTGTGTGTGTGTGTGTGCTCTGTCGAGTCTGACTCTGCGATACTCTGGACTGTAGCCTGCCAGTCTCCTCTGTCCATGGAATTTTCCAGGCAAGAATACTGGAGTAGATTGCTACTTCCTACTCCATGGGATTTTCCCAACCCAGGGATCAAACATGCATCTCTTGTGTCTCCTGCACTGGCAGACAAATTCCTTACTATTGCACCACCTAGAAAGCCCATATGTATATACGTACATAAATACATTTATAATGTGTTAATTTCTCCTGTAAAGTGATTGTTTTATACATATGTAACATACACATATATAACTGAATCACTTTGCTGTACAGCAGAAATTAACATAACTTTGTAAATCAATGATGCTTCAACAAAATAAATTTTAAAAATATATACCAAAAATTAATTAATTAAAATTGAATAGTTGTCCAGTTACACTGTCACCCCATCTTACTTTAATTCATGGGACAGCTCCTAGTACACTTGGATTTTTCCGGGTATTTATTTCTGTATTTGCTTATTATCTGTCTCCCCACTAAAATTAGGGATCATGGCAGTCATTGACTTCTTTAGACTCAGTATCTAGGGAAGAAGTTGGCATATAACAAACAAATATTTGTTAATTCATATGACTAAATTGCATCATTATACAAGGCAATATAGTATACATCAATATGCTAAAAGCACAGATTTTGAGTCCAAATCTATGTGTGAATCCCATTCCTTTCACACTGCTATTGGCAAAATGACCGTTTAACCTCTTCGTCTCCATTTCTACACTCTAAAAAAAGGAATAGTAACTACTTCATAATATTGACATGAGAATTAGATAATGTCTTTATGTAAGAGTTCAACATGTGTTAGATACTAATACTACAGAAAATTAAAGAGAATGAATGACATATAGCCTAACTATAATGCCTCCAAATTTACTTCTATTGTTTGCTTAAAGGCTTGTACTCACATATTGTAATTCATTTGCACATAAGAAAACTAATCTTTAACTGAAAACCTACTATGTTGCCATTTTAAGCACTTTTATATCTACTGACTTATTTAATCTCTATTGATCATATGAGAAAGCTATTACTATACCCATTCTACAGATGAGAAAAACTGAAGCCTAGAGGAGTAATTTGCCTAAAGTCATACAACTAGTAAGTTGGCTCAAAGTTGACAGTTGTGCTCTATAGAGTTTGTTCTTAATCATTACTATCATGGGCCTCTCTATATTTTCATTAACATTTAAAAAACCTAATATTAATTCATACTATTATTTTCATATATCAAAAAGTCAATATGAGTATCATCATTTAAAAACAGATTATCCAATTATGATGACAGAATACAGGTTTTTAATCAGTTGGTGGATATAAATTATTTTAGTTGACCTTAAAAAAATTCTGTAAAACAGAGCTTCCCTAGTGGCCCAACAGTTAAGAACCACTTTGCAATGCAGCGGACATGGGTTTGATCCCTGGTCTAGGAAGATCCCACATGTCGCGGAGCAACTAAGTCTGTGCACCACAACTACTGAGCCAGCGCTCCAGAGCCCGGGAGCCACAACTACTGAAGACCCTGCACCCTGGAGCCCACGCTCTCCAACAAGAGAGGCCACCACAGTGAGAAGCTCCCCATTCTCTGCAACTAAGGAAAGCCCCCACACAGCAACAGAGACCCAGCATAGTCAAAAATAAGATAAAAAACTTAAATAAATTAAATTTTTAAAATTATTTTTAAAAATTCTGTAAGGTCACTATTATTAGCCTCACTTTAGAGCTGTAGGGACTCCAGGACCAAAGTCTGAATGTTTCTCCCAACATCACCCGCCAAGTTTGAGGGCCAGGTCTTCAACATCTAGTTGTAGATCTTCTGGTCTTTTTGTAAGAACTGCTGTCTACATTAATGGAATATTACAAGTTTAAGATGGCATATCCTGTTCAGTTTTGAATTAAAAACTGTTAGTTAGAATTTGATATTTGAAGCTTAAGTGTTTTCTTACCCCAACTCTAAAAATCCTCTCAATGTAAATTAAGATCATGCAATGACAGTCTACAAAATCCCTTTTGGTTTCTGGATGGACTTAAAAAGTTTGGCCAATCTGAAACCATAATGGCCTGCACAGTGACATGGTGGGAGGAATCCTATGAGGGTAACAGAGCAATAAGAAACCCAGAATTAGAGTTTTGCCTATAGAGTAAAGAAAGCTA